AATATTTTTTTGAAAATTGTGAAGGTTTATGTAGAGCTCTTAGACCTCGTTCTACACTTATTGTTAACCTTGATATATAGATAAATGAATTTGTTAGTACAAATCTATCAATTAATAAAACAGCAATAATGGTAAAATAGTAGAATGTAATAAAAATGTACCTTGATGAAAATAGTCCAATTAATAAAATAGTAATTCTAATAAATTAAAGGAGCACTGCTACCATCAAATAAAAATACGTGTAAAACAATTTAATTAATAAAATTATCGTTGTAATAAACCAAAGAAGCTATGATCAAAAGTTGATTGTCAGAGGAACGTTGTAAATAAAATGGGATTGAAGAGTAAAGAAATAAGTAAGAATATAGAAAATAAATATAAGAAGGAAGAAGGAAAAGGAAAAAAGGGAGAACTAAAAAGGAGGAAGGGATTGTATAATGTTAAGATATGATTCCGATAATGATTCAGTTTCGTTCTGTTTTGTTCAAGTTTTGTGTTTGTTTTTTTATGTCGATCTCCGATATTAATCTGTTGTAAGAATGTTCATTATATCCAAAATTTTAACATCGTTTTATTTGAAATTATGGTTAAAATTAATACGGTGATCTATTAATTACAGATGGAGATCCTGTTTTTTATTAATATCGGAACGATGTCCATGTAATCTAGTTTTTAACTTTTGTTTTGTTTGACCAATGTAGGTAGATTACAATCTTCACAGGAGATTACATAAGAATAGCATAAACAGAATACTTTTTATTTTCATAAATGTGCATGATATTACAATTATAATCAGACATAAAACGCTACAAAGTGCAAAATACAAAATAATATTAATAGAGATTACATAATGATATCAAAATTAGTTAAATCAGATGAAGTTATAAGTATTTCTCAATCTATATCAAGTTTTTTAAAATTACCCTCTATACCAAATAAACCATTTGCTGTTTTGCTTTTGCCGATTCTTAATGCTTCGTTAACGCGTCTGGTTGCTTCATCCAGCAGAAACCACTCGCGATTGTCTTCCAATTCCTTCACTTGAATTTCAGCTAGTTTATGTACAGAATCCGCTTTTCCACCCATTTCGTTTGGCAATGCATCCACTGGGATATATTCAGAAATGCTCTCTAATGATAAGTGAAAATGTATCTAGAAGAGTTAAATAAATTCAGAAAAACTTGTCTAAACAGCATTGAGTATGATTTTTCCATTGAAAAAATTATGATGTTATAGATAACTAGACGCAAAAATTATTATGTTTATCGATGATAAAAAATTATATTTTGTATAAGACATGAATTATTTACCTATAAAAGAGTACGATTACGTACTATATTTATTATAATTATAACATTAGAATTATTTGATCGCGCTTATATCGTATTTGTTGCAAATGATTGAGTTTTTTAAAAACGCGGATGTTGTTGCTACAGTTGAACTTAATTAATTGATTTGTGATACTTACTATGTCTATCAACTCGTTTTTCATAAAAGGCTTCGCCATATTCATCCATAATTCCATGGCGGGTGTTGCGTTTAGAAAATGGATTGCCTTTAGCCGTATCGGCATTGCCTCTTGGAGATAGTATAGATGTTTCTTCATTCCCATTGGATTTATTCGCATAACATGACCGAAAGATAATTTGCTAACGTCAAAGATGAAAATGGTACCATCATTCGTACCATTCATCAGCAAATATATGTCGGAAAACATTATGGCATATTTTATGCAGTTATTATAGTTATAGAAGGAAGGATCGCTGTCCATCAATGTTGAAAGTATCATCTTATAACCATCCTTTGTTAATCCATTCAGAGGAAAAACAGCCCTTTTTAAATTAAATTAATTTTAAATCAAGTTAGTATAATAAGTATGTAAAATATTCGTAAAAATATTCTAGATGTTTTCAAAAGTATATCTGTACATCTTACAGATATACTTTATTTTATTTTTTGTCTGAATCTTAAATTATCTATTAATGTGGTTAAAATTGTAAATATTATTAATTAGCCATTTTATACGAACAAATCATATTACTGCTATTTACTCATTAATATTCATAAAATTGTTTACGCGATTTTGAAGGCTTGTCGCAGTTCCTTTTCAAACGGATCCCGATTGCAAAAAATTTCTGGTAAATGTGTCCTGATCGTATAATAATTCTCGATTGTGTTTTTCGTTGGTTCCATTTGATAGTAATTGCTGTGAAGGAACAAAGCGAGAAAGTTGTCCTCAATTTTTGGCAAATGTGGTTGTTTCTTGCACCATTCTCTCAGTGATTGTATATCGGATAGTTTCAATTGAGAATTCTTCTTCATTTCTTCTTCTAATGTGATTCCTTTTATTATAGACATTGAAACTCGAATTTAATACGTACGATTATCTTCTTAAGAACACTTCCTTTCCTTCACAATATGTTCTTTCCGAGAGAGGTTTTACTGAGATACTTTTAAAGCTAATAAGGATATACCGAATCAATTTAAAAACTTGGCAATACTAAAATGGTGAAACTAATCACTTCCATTCATTAGTAATAATTTATATTGATTATAAATTCTAATAAAATCAGTGCCTCGAACGGTTTTAGGCGGATTTTAAGTGCTTATTAAATTCAGCGAATTTATACTATTTACTACGTATTTTTTAAACGCGCTGAAATGATATTTTCGTGAAATGATTTTTCTTGAAACGCAAACTCTACTGAACTATCGCAGTAATATCACGAGTTAAATTGACTAGCAATTTAACAATTTGATGCTTTTAGATAGTATATAAATTCATACAGAATTAGGTAAGCACTGAAGATCCAGTTATGGTTGTTAAAAGGCATTCATTTTGTTGGTTGTATTCTTGTATGTTCTCACGGTTAAATAAAGTTTGATATTTAATATTGTAAATTCTTTCATCAGAGTGACTTGCAGAAAAGTATGCGTCACAACAAACACAAATATAGAAACATAATTAACTGACAGATATGTCAGTTAATTTTCTACTCAACAATTTAACTATTACACCATATATATATATCTACGTATATAACATTGAGTGCGAGTAGCAGAAAAAATTCATCAGTGAATACTTTAGTACGACTGGTTTGTACACGTTTTAGATCCAGCGAAGAATTGAGCACTAACTGATCATTTGTCTTTGCTGAACCAGCCATTACAAGTAAACTGTTGTGTGAGAAAATATGATTACCCCGCAACAGAATAGTAAGTCTGAAGCCTTAAGAAATTGATCAATCACAGTTGAATGTGAGAGTAATTGACTACGATTGGTTCCTTAAGACTTAAAGTTTACTCTATTGTGTTAGCAGGATAACGGTTATGTTTTAATTTATATTTGCTAGAGTATAACTTGTACAAGCATGAAATCCATATTACACTGCGCATTGGAGGCTGAGGATTACGAATTAGAGATAAAAATTCAATTAGTTCAATAATTTTAATTTTAATTTGTTTCGTTCTAATTATTTGAATTACAATTTTCATTTCTCAATTCTCAATCTTCAATACATAGTGTGACACAGACTTTAGACTTTAGATCGTAAAACAGGAATGTGCGCTTCAAGGTTACGATATAATTGTTTTATGACACAAACAACTGAAGAAACGCTTAATTGTAGAGTAAACGTAAGGGAATAAACATGTATACTCGTATGTATATACATAATTATTTAAGACGCTAGATTCCATTAAATTTAAAAGAAAAATCAATAC